CAGACAGGAATAACAAACCAAACCCTATAACTTGAGACCTTAGAGCAGCTCTGTTTGTTCTCCATATGGCTGCAATTCATGTGAACCACCTTTAAGGTTGCAGCTTTCGAATAAACAGTAGGGAGTCTGAATCTAAAATGTGCATCTCCTCCTTAAATGACTCACAGAACACTGTACAAAAACTATTTATAGTTTTGAACACATAAAATTGTAATAAGCAAATCTCACTGATCCCAGTAGGATCCTAAACCATCATGGGAAACTTCCAATCAAAAAACAATAAAATACATCTAAAAACGTTCACAGAATCATTTTTGTCCTATAATTTCAGCAATGTTCATTTGTGCTGCCTTTCTTCTCCTATCTATGGATACATTAACATTAACGCTAACCATCAGAATTTAGTTAAAGTTAATGGTGTTGCTTTTTTTATCATTTTTACGATGAAATTCAGTGTTTAATTATCTAGCTAAAACTAATATTTAGTATTAATAAAACAAATATTTTTTTCCTTAATTCAAATTAACAGATGAGTTGTTTATATAAACTGTAATAGAGGCACAACTTTTACTTGTTTACGCCCTAAGCAGCGCCTGCGATTGAGTCAGAAAAATGCTTATGAATCAGAAGGAAAAGAATAAACAATGTCTTTGTAAGGTTTCATTGTTCACAGATGCCATGCAAACAGGCTCTCAGGCAGAGTTAAACAACGTAGATGTTATTATAACGTCCGTATAAAACTCAGTGCTAAAACATATTGTAGATAAATATTTTAACAGCGAACTATAAGATCACATCAACAGATATGAAAACAAGTTTCTCTTGGAAGTGATATGCTTGCTCTGTTGTCGGTAAAAACAAACTCCAGGTTTCATTTAAGTTGGTTTAAGAATGCTACCTCTCCTGAAAAGCTGCAAACTGGACTTTAAAACTAAAATAAACTAGTAACAAACAAACTGTTACTGTGATGAGATCTTGTAAGAGAGCAGCAGATTTTAAAACAAAATGTGCAACTTTTATCACAAAAGTTGCAAAATCAAAAAGACATTGTTAGTATTATTAATATAATTATTATTAAGGTCAAAGAACAGCTAAAAGTAAATAATTTTTAAAGCTTTTAAAGCCATTGAAAACTCTTACAGTAGCAATGATTAAAGACATCATTAATAGTCTATGATCAGTAACCATTCTTTAAAAAAAAGCAATTACTAACTGGAAGTCAACTGCATATTTTAAATGTTTTAAAACTTGTAAATGTACTTTTGAAAGGAGTCCGTGCAGCTGAACTGGCCCTGCTTTGTCAATCATCAGTCATCGTTCACCAACCCTTAACCTAGTTTTAATCGTGTTTACCGCCTGACTAGAAGGAAAGAGCAACAGTTTTTATTCTTCAGTCCACATTCAGCCATAAACCCCTACATTTTGACCGTAAAATGCACCTAAAAGCCTAAACGACCTGAGGGGGAGTGTGTAAACAGAGATACACAGAGACAATAGTCTGTTCTGATCCTTTAAAAAAATCCTAAACAAATCTACTGACTAACTTGGAACAAATCTTAATAGTGTGGCAACGCCAAAATGGCTTTTTATATCAATAACTTAATCTGATCCATAAACGGGACTGATCTGGCAACTGTCTCTCTATTTTGTTGAATTGAGACCTTAGAGCAGCTCTGTTTTTTCGCCATACAGCTGCAATTCATGTGAACCGCCTTTAAGGTTGCAGCTTTAGAATAAATAGTAGGGAGTCCTAAACAAATCTACTGACTAATGCTTTATAAATTGAAGCTCAGACCCTATCAAAACCACTGACTGAAAATACAGATAGCCGCTCAAGTCTGTCTGAGCTTGCATGAAAATTGATTTGGTCTACATTCACATTTGGTGATATACTATTATACTCCAGCTTAGAGCTAAAATATATCGCATGACTTCAGTACTGTCATTAAAAACCAAAATAAAAATAGCCACAAATAGTAACATTAAAGCAGAAATATTGATTTTAGCAATAGCATTTATTATTTTGATTTCAATACGAAGACTTTAGCACAACATATGTTATAAGAAGTTAGTTGTAGTCCTGAAATATTTATTCCTTTTATCAATTTCTTCCTTTGGTATGACAGAACATTTTAGTAACATCTTTCACCATACTTGGTATGGGGTGTGTAGGCAAATCCCACAGTGTGATTCATTCTGATTAAGATGGAGCTTACTAGAGGAAAAAAAAAAAACTCTAAAAGAAAAACTGTGAAACATGATCCAACTGCTCTGACCCGTGTATGATGACAGTCCATCTCTCACCCAAGCTGGAACTTAATAACACTCATACATGCAAAACGTTTGGCCAAGTTTGAAACAGCTCCCTGATGCATCATTTAGGACCCTCAGCTCTCAAGTTAGTCAGCAAGGTCTGCTACTGGTTTGCAGCACCAAATGTGTTGCTGGTAATGCTGGTTTGCCACTAAGGTGTGACAGCAATAATTTGCTCATAGCTGAGTTCGAGGTTTCAGCTGCATTGCGCAGCACTGAAAAACAGCCGAATCAGCTGCTGGTGAATGGTGGATATTTGGTGTGATTTGGCCGCCGTCACATTTTTCATGTTTAGAGTTTTTCTGCAAACTTTGTGGAAATACTCTCTATCGATCTCCATGGCCACCCTTTGAAGGGTGCGTCATCTGGCCAAAGATGTGAAAACGTACATTTTTGCATGGTGAGGCGCAAAATCCCTCGCTAGATTCAACCCAGCGGATGTGCAAAGCAGATCAGCCAGCAAAACCGTTGGAGTCTATCAAAGTTAGCTCAGGTCTTGCTGCATTTAGCTATAATTTCTGCACTGGTTTTATACTAGTTTAACAAAGTTAAATCTAAAAAGTCAGAATATATTGAAGGTTTGACGGAAATTTTACCACCGAACCTCTGGTCTCAATATGAGAACAATTCATTTCTTCGTTTTTATACACTACAGCAACCCTACTAAAACAATAAAATACAGGAATACTAAATTTAACATCATAAAATTTATTTTGATTTTGATACATGGAGCAATAGCGTAAATATCGGTAAGCAGAGACAGCAGTTGCTTACAGGCCCACGACCTCTTTGGAGCCCCATCACAGACACCTCAAAGATCCTCTACACAATTGTGGACTAGGATGTCCCTTTGCAAATGCAATGGTGTGAAAAATTCCTCTTAAACCCACCTGATACTAAAGTGACTGACCGCACTTGAGCATATTTATACCACAACACATGCCAGATTTCAACATGATGATGAGACGTTTAAACACGACAACAACAGCAAAGCAGACAGTGGTACTTTTAATTACTATGTTAATAACTATGTATAGTTCATTAGACGTTTGGTTAAAAAATACACTCATATATATATAGTGTTTCAAACCACAATAAAGATCCTAAAAGCACAATGTATATTGAGTATTTTTTTTTTACACTACGACTTGGAGTTATGGGTAACCCAAAGCGTAGATTAAAACTATAACCGTTACGTACAATGTGTTAGCGCCGATGGATACCAAAAAGAGGTACTTAAGCGGATTCCAGAAAAGAAAAAGAAGAGCTGCTGGAAGAACAGAAAAAACTTCCCAAAATCAACACGTTCTTTCAAAGAACCGAATAGGGAGAGGTGGACATTGCTGCTACAGTGAGTAAAGATTGCAACCAGGAGATGAATGGAGAGAGCATGGGTGAGGAGTGGGGCTGTTCAGGAAGTCTCCCTAATATAGATAGTCGTTCACGGATGGCTGCGAGTCGGATAAATTGTCCCGGATTTTAGACTCTGCGAGGTGGTGTTTTTTCAATGTGAGTGAGAGCGTGCAGGCAGTTCAATAATTTGTGCACCATGTGCGGATTAAAACTACTGCGATTGCGCAGGCATGAGACAGAGCGGGGTGTGTGTATGTATGGGGCACGTTTCGGGTCAGTTGTCTAAGGGGGTAGTGGGTTCAATAAGCATCTCTGTGAAATCAGTTTTTGGAACTTGGGATCCAATGGTTCCATTCAAGGCGCGTAAACACTATTTTTCCGTGAGTGATAATATACTACTGAGAATTGCATAATTCTATCTTCTTGACCAATTCATGGAACTGTCGCCGTATCCTGAACCTTTATCACGTGTTGTACTTTATATGGGGCCTACTCAGATAATGTTGTATTGTTGTGTCGTTACGCCGTTGCATGGAGTTAATATATGCTAATCTATGGAATAAAAAAAGTGGCAAATGAGTAGAAGCACCCAGGAGTTTGCAGCTTCTTAGATTTTCAATTTTTGCTTGAATAATGAACACTGGGGGTATAAAACTAAAAAAAAAAACATTTTAGATGGTTGGTTAATGGGTTTAAAGCTTGACATTTGTAGATTGTTGATAAAATTGATAAAATGTTGATAACTTAAAAACAGTAATTTGTTTCTTTCCTACACTATGACTATTTGGGTTTGTTGTTTCTCAAAGAGAAACATCTCTAAAGAGCCAAATGTTTACTGTCTTTCTAAGCAAGGATGGGAGTAGTGCCCAATTTTACCACAATCATTCTAAAAGAGTAAGAAATTTTACATCACAAAGAACTTTATTTATACTTTACACTTAAAGCACAGATTTTTTTCTGTTTTTTGTTTGTTTTGTCATGGCATCAGTGGGCTTTATTTCCACAGTTGTAAGACAGGAAATGGGATTGAAAGAAGGGGAAGAAGTGCAACAAAGGTCTCCCCTGGCAGCTGGGTCAAGGCCTAAAGGCCTCCATGCATGTGTTGCACCGTAGGCTACTACACTAAAACCATGACCAAACCAGCCTATAATGACTCCAACAGTTTGTTGAATGAGCTGCAGTTCAAGACTACGGAAGACGATTAGGGCCAAAAAATTCAGAATTCCGATTTAATCTTAGAATTCTGACTTTAATCTCAAAATTCAGACTTTTTTTTCACAGATTTCTGACTTTTTTCCCATATTAAACTGAAATAAAATGTGAAAATCAGTAAAATTTTTTCAGTGGCCCTAATCCTCTTCTGTACAAAACAGACATCAAGAGACTCTGCAAAATATTTAGCTCCAAATGACTAATGTATCCTCTTTTGATTAGAAATATCGTTAAAATCAAAATGTTAGGCTTACATTTATATGGTTGGCTATAAGGTGGCATGCATTATTGTTCTGCAAGCTAATTTTGTAATTAGACAGATTAACTCTCATCACTTGTCATGCCCACAACTATTATGGATAGAAATAAGTGAGATAATCCATCTTGGTGACAGAGATAGGGACAATCTGATGATGGAAAGGGGAAAAAAAGGAAAATATAGGAAAACCTGCAAAGAATATTTGCACTATTAATAACAATATGTCAGTTGCATGTTATGCTTCATCAACAGAAACGTTTTAGATAATAAACCAGCAACAATCGTTCAAATACTTTAATTTAAAAGCTTTTTTCCCTTATCAATTCTGTTAAGACCATAACCAACGATGAGCGACTAAAATATTGATAACTTTATCAATGGGTTTAGATTGAAGTATTTTAAAAAAAGGGCAATAGATTTGCTTTTTTAAAGGAGAAATGTTCAGAAGAGGTTATATAAAAACGTGCAATCACGTTCACAGCCCCTGTGAGCCCGATAAACAGGCACGTCCGGGTTAGATGATAGAGGAAGCAGCTCATAGCAAGGCTATAACCACGTGCAACACAGATTACACTGAAAAAACGAACAAGAAGCAAATATTACTGTTTTATGACTCAGATATAAACATTAAAAACTAATATACATGAGCTGAGAATCGTGTAACGCCCTGTCGGCCTCGTCTCGGTCCCACCGTTAGCCCACCCACTTAGCTTTTGAGTTCAATTTCTGGAAATATATCTTTATTTATAGATGGGTTTAATAATAACTTACCCCAATCTTCGCTCGTTAAGAGATTATCGGCGAAGAATCGACTATCCAGGTCAGATAAAAGGTCCGCAGTCATTGCCACAAAGGCAGTGTGTTTGGAAAGCAGGAGTCTGCAGTCCGACGTGATAACAGCAGCTAAACAAACATAGACTCGATAAAACCTTTATCTTTATCCTCAAACTAACAGTTTCTTATCGATTTGTCTACCATTTGCAATATCAAGTAAATAAAATTCTTAATTAGAGTAGAATAGGGTTATATTCATGCCCTCTGGTCAAGTTATCGACCCTTCCTTTCGCTTTGCATATGACAGACGAGGAAACGCATTTTCCAGAAGGTTGCCGCCTACTTTTGGGGAATCAGCCAATCAAATCAAATATAGCTCTGATTGACAAAGATGAAAGCCAATACAATATCCGAACAACCGTGATTGGTCAGCCAGTAACCCTATAGTTAAACAGGTGGTTGCGGAACACCCTTTTAAAGATGATTCCGTCCAATCAAATTGCTAGATTTTGATTGACGGGAACATTCAACCAAACAACGCGATTTTATTTAGAGTAAACAAAAATAGTTCTGAGGAAATTCACGTGTATTCAAGCATTGCAGCGACACAGCTGGTTTTAATCAGGCTTCACATTGTTTAAAACAATACTGTTTCCAAACTGAAAGTTGTTCTTAATATGATGAAATATATACGAATAATTGTCCTGTTCACAAACAATTTTGAAGCACATTCAGCGACCCTGATATTACATAACCAAGAAAAAAGTTATGCTGCAACTTTTACCAGCTTCTGTATTTTTTCTGTTTGCAGCCATGCCCACTTTGTTACTTTAATTAGTGTGGAAATAAAACATTTGAGCAAAAGTCTAAACAAATATGTGTTTACAAAACATTCCCATATTATTCTTCTTTTTTTTTTTCCTTATCAAGAGTGATAATTGAGGGATTCCGAATGAGGAAAATTTAGTAAGAAGTAAAGCTGGACAGATGTTTTCTGTATACAGGAGAAAGGTTAATGCATCAAAATATCCTCATGCTGGATAACTAAGACGTAGACAGATTTATTTAGTCATTTTGTATACAGGAGAGTAAACAGAAAGAAACTGTGTTTAAAACAGCTCTAAACAATTTTCAATTTTTAAAGTGCAGCCTTGAAAACAGTAATAAATACATAATAAAATAGTATGACTAAAATAAAAATAATATGACATTTTACACAACATTCAGCAGTCTAATGGCAGTGGGGAAGAAACTGTTACGGGATCGGGACACGCAGCGCTGGGATGAAATGTCTTTAATGGAGGGAAGAGGAGCCCCAATAATCTTCTCTGCTGTTCTCAGCACTCTCCTGACTTTCTTCCAGTTTGAGGCGCTGCAGCTTCCACACCACACAGTGAGACAGCTGGTCAGAACGCTCTCTATGGTGCTTCTGTAGAAGGTGGTGAGGATGGGTGGGGGCAGCCGGGCTCTCCTCATCCTCCGCAAGAAGTACATGTGCTTCTGTGCCCTTTTGACCAGTGAGGTGGTGTTTACATTCCAGGTGAGGGTGTCTGTAATGTGCACAACCCGGAATTTGGTGCTGTTGACCACCTCTACAGCTGAGCTGTTGATGAGCAGTGGAGCGTGATTAGGCCGGTTCTTTCTGGAGTCCAAGATGATCTCCTTCGTCTTCTCCACGTTCAGGATCAGGCTGTTGTCTTTGCACCAGTCCACCAGCTGCTCCACCTCCTCTCTGTAGTCCAGGTCGTTGTCGTCTCTGATGAGGCCCACCACCGTGGTGTTGTCTGCAAACCTCCCAATGTGATTGGTGGTGAACCTGGGGATGCAGTCATTTGTCATCAGGGTGAACAGTAGGGGGCCCAGGACACAGCCCTGAGGGGAGCCTGTGCTTAGGATGATGACATCAGAGGTGACTGAGGTCTGTTTGTGAAGATGTCTAGCAGCCAATTTAAAAGGGTTGTATTGAAGCCCAGTTGTTTCAGTTTTCCCATCAGATGCTGTGGAATGATGGTGTTGAAAGCTGAACTGAAGTCCAGGAACAGCATCCACACATGGGTGTTCTTCTCCTCCAGGTGTGCCAGGCTCAGGTGCAGAGCAGCAGAGACCTAAGTGAAGCGGTTCCGTCGGTAGGCGAACTGGAACAGGTGGAATGTTGGCGGCAAAGTTTAGCAATTTTAAAAAACTTAGCAATGTTTTTTGGCGTATGCTTCTCGTGTTTATGTTCTTTTGCTATTTCATGTGACATATGTGCAAATCAGACACATCAAAATTCTATATTCAGTATACATGAAATTTATTGACTACGGTAGTTAAAATGTATTACTTACATTTTAAATTTTTATATATATAGAGTGAATTCAAATTCCCAATTCCACAGACACTAATGCTCAGACAAACAAAGTCTTTTTGAGGAAGAGGAAGAGGATCATGTGGAAAAACAGACTGTGACAGACAGGAGGTCCATTTCCCAGAACAACCAGCAGCAGGACCTTTGCAACACCATCATATTTTTCTTTTGCAAAGATGCTCATGCTTATAATCTTCTGTTATGTTTTGTTTCAAATCCCTGATGAGATCGACAGCTTAGAAAACGTCCAAGGTACAGACTGCTTTCTTCTTCCTTCAATAATTTTTATCTTTGATAGACATTATTTGACTCCTTACTGTTAAAAGTTTGATGATATCTTTATTTTATGATAAATAACTCCTTTTGAAATTCAGCTTCATATTATAGTTTTTTCAGTGGTGAATGCAACTGATACTCAATATATCATCAGAAAAGCATATCATTTTGCAGAATAGATTTATGAATCATGCAAAATAGGTTTATTGAATTCCTGCAAGCAAATGTCCACAGCTGTTACATGTTCATCCAGGTGGAAGGACTCAATGCAATCAGCTGGGTGTCTGTCTGTAGGATTTTAATAAATGCTTAATAAACACTTAAGATGAGATGTGAATTGGTAAAATATATATACACTAAAGTGAATTTTTTTTAATAATGATCTTATTTTATTTTTCAAAAACAATCCTAGCTTATATTTATCAGAATCGATACAGACAAAATATGAAGTTTAATAAGTAAAAGTAATTTATTTAGATTTTATTTTTTATGTACTAGAAATGTTATACTTCTAACATATTTATTTTGCACATAAATATTTTATTTTAAATATGTCATAATTTTCCTGTATGCTTCTTATTTTAGTCTGAGCGGATGAGTGAGCATGTTTCCATGAGACAGAACAGGAAGTGCAGATAAAGCAGGAGACTTGGCTAAAAGTTAACTTCCAGTCTAATGTGTCTGTGACAGTTAATATTAGCTGCATCTAAATATGGAACGAAGGTTTAACAACATCTGGCTTGTGTGGAAATATTTGTAAAAACACGTCTGTGTTGTAAATAGCCTACATTAAAAAACTAAGGGAAGCGTAGCATTTTCTCTTTATGTGTAATTTATTCTTCAAAGTGGGGTATATCTGAAGCAAAATAGTTTTTGATTTACATATTTAAGAATTTGAATAGTTAAAAAAATAATTATGAAAAAAACAATTACAAAAACAGTTTTTATTTATAAACTGTTCCCATTTCAGGTCCTCAGGCTGGGAGTTTTGGTTATTTGGCCAGTCTCTCCACATCAGCAGTGATCCGGTACTCAGTCCTGGAAGATCAACATGTGTGCCTGCCATGCGGGGCCTCTGCCAGCTCCAATGTGATTTGGACTCATCAGAACCGGAAGGTCCTTGTGGACCGGCAGGGAAGCCACAAGAACATTCTGGACCCTCAGCATTATGATCTGTTGGACGATGGTGGTCTCTGCGTGCTGAAGCTCCATGACTCAGACAGTGGAGAATATCAATGCAACCAGCAGCTGGTGGCTGAGCTGCAGGTTCTCAATGGTATGATGTGAAGTAAGCAGCATTTTATGCACTATGGGGGTGTTTGAAACCACAGATATCTTCACCACTGACAATGAGAAGTTATGTTACAAACCTCAAAGCTGTAAAACTAAAAACCAATGATCCCTATACTACTACCTTTATATCTTTAGGGCATGACCTCAAGGTACCTGCAGGATGGACACTTCTGCTGGCCTGCAGAGGCTCCCCTAAGCTCAAACACAAGTGGATGAGACACAGAGAAGGACAGAATGCAGTGGTCATCTTCACCCGTTTCAAAGATGGTACAGAGAAAGCAGAAACAGACGAGAGCAGACTGAGCTACGAGAACGATTCACTGCAGATCAGAGACCTGCAGCTAGATGACGCCGGAGAGTATATCTGCAATAGAATAATACAGGCAAAACTCACCGTCCTGCAAGGTGAAATATAGGACCTTTGTTCATTGTTTTCACAGAATTTTGCATTATAAAAAATATTATTTTCCAGATGATAAAACCAGTGAAAAGTGCTTCAGAATTTTATTTTAGGCCAACCTAACTGTCTATGTAAATGCAGACAGAATAAACTTAGTTTTGAGATATAATTTCTTGATGATATTTTGATGAGTAGTTTGAAATATGAAGAAATGCTCTGTAGAAAGGTGAGTTTTTAATTCTATCTGCTGCCACATTCAGATAGCCTGACTGGCACCCAGGCTAACATTCAGAGTTTCTTAAGGCAAAACAAGGGAGTAATTTAAAGCCTACAGATTAATAATTAGAAAAGTAAAGAAAATGTAATTGAAAATTACTAAATTTTAAATTTGAAGTGAAAAAAAAAATGGACCTCAAAGTATTTTACATAGCTACACTTCTCTGGATGCCATGAGAGGTGTGGCGTCTTATTATTCTCCTTATCTGTCTGATACAAAATAAGCTAATATAATAGTGTGATAATTTGTCATATCATCGCACAATATACATAAAACTAAAGTATTTAACATCAGTGTTGTCAATTAAGCTCTTTTATGTGGCCTACCGCTTTTTACTTGATAGTACATTTAAAACTGTTCCATATTTCAGAGAATCCTGCATCCACCAGCATCCTACCAGCATTATCTACCAGTATAACAACAGTATCAGCTGTTCCAAAGACAGGTAGGCTCTTCTCTCAAAATCATTCATTTTTGTCATGAAAAGCAATTTGTAATTTACAAAATGTAATTTTTTTTTTCAGATGTTTTTGAAACAAACAACACACCAAAGAAGAGACCTGAGAATGGTCAGCTGCAGTAAACACACCTGACCATAACCGATAAAAACCTTCTTTGTTTTATTCTGCTGGCATTGTTATATGTGTGCTCACTCGTTGTGCTTGTTTCCAGCTCTGCTGCTGGTCACTGTCATTGGTTCTGGGTTAATGATCGTCCTGATAGCACTCGTCTGCATTTTCCTAACCAGCATGAAGTGCAGAAACAAGAGGAGACAGAGATATGCAGGTGGTTATTATTCTATTTGTTTATCTTATTGGTATTCAGGTTAGTTAAGTTTTGGTGCAGAAATGTAATAAAACCATTTAATCTAATCATAATTACAAGTCTTATTGGTACCACTGTTTTAAGCAGTGTTTAGCTTCCTCCAAGTCTAAAACACATGTGTTGCCTTCACTAGACTCTTTAAATTCCACCTTAGAAGTGAATGTGTTAAAGGTTATTTGTCCTGTCATGGAAAGCTGAGCAGCAGACCTTTAAATGGTATGTGGGTAGTGGCAATGATTGGATGACTACTATAAACATCAAATATCAATTTAGAAATATGAACATTGATCATCCTAAAACTTCTTCTATGATTTTGTGTTTTTCCAAAGTATTCTTAACAAGTATCTTTATTTAATGCCCTTTTAAAAATAATCTAAAATGATGCGTTCACAGCAGATTTTTTTGTACTTTATTATATTAGAATAATAAACACTCGGATTAGTTGCCAAAATTGAGTACACAGCGATGCTAAAGAGGTTTTGCCAAAAAGAGAACGTTACCCGTTTCACGTTTCCATGTATAACATTGCAGATCTTTAAGTCAAAGGAAATTCTTAAAAAAAAAAAAAAAAACGAAAATCCCTATATTTTTCAGGTATTATTCTTATAAGTTCAAAGGCATGAATTATGGCTAAAACTTGTTATTTTTGTCTGTAATTAAAAAAATTATTAAATGCCAAATAATTTTTGTTGGTAAAATAGAATACACGGGGAACGAGCTTGCAGAATCTCAGAAGTCTCAGAAGTGGTGGTGGACTAATTAATATAAGGGACTAATCTGCTAAATAAGAATCATGACTAATTCATTATTAAGCCTTTATAACCATAATTATTTTAACTGAATGCGCCCATGAACAGCTCTAACCTCTGTTCAGCTTTATCTTTGGGTCATTTTTGCTTTATAATCTACAGTAAGTTAGTTCTTTCCTCACATGTTCCTCATTTAAATAAAAAAAGAAAAGCTGCATTTTGCTGAAGTCGTGTCTTGGATGACTGAGAATCGACACCAGAGGATAACCATAACTACACTGCCTGCCTCCATTGCTTTACAATTATTGCTGTATTTGGTGAAAGTCTTTCGGAATTCTTACCAAACTTAACGTTAGCTATAAGATGTATTTCGAGCCTTTAAGCACAAAACTTTAGCTTAGTTTTTTTTTTAATACAGAAAGGGGGACATTATCAGCCATATTGACACATGTAGACACCAATAAACAAATAGGTGGTAATATTATTGCATTTCGACCTGCGGCAGAAAGAAGCTGGAAACGAACTTGCAACTTTTAAATTGCAAAATTACTTTTCTTCCCACTGATAATTAATAGTTTGATTGTAGGTAAGTAAGAAGACCAAACATAGTAACACGGTTATATCTTAGGTGTTGATATTGTGATTTGAGAATATATCTATTTCATAATTTATCAATAATCTCCATGGGATATGCACTTTATGCTCACTATTAAGATTTAATAAATGTATCAGTTGCTACAGGTGATGATCCAACATTTTTCATGCATTGTGTGTAATTTTCAACATCATATCCTTAATTCTAACCAGTTTATATCCTTTGGTAGCAAAAAGACGAGAGGACACAGAGCTGCAGCTGTGGATGACATATAACGCCCAAACTGGTAAGGGAGTTTGTAAATAAGAAGTTAGTTCTTTTTGTAATGAATCCAATGTGTTAAAATGACTGGTTTTATTTGGCTGCAGAGTATGAGGTGTTTGAGCGTCCAACCCTGCCTGATGAAACCATCCACTACGCCTCTCTGGGTCGACAGAGCTGGAGCCAAAGACCCAGCTGGCTACTTGATCAGAGCGGCAGTAATAATGTTGTCTATTCTTCAGTCATCACCAGACCTGGAGCCAAAAACACTTTCACCTGAGTCCAGTTGATTTCCGTTATTCTTTGTTAAGCATGGATTAGCTGTCTTTGTTTCAGTTCTAACTCTGATTAAAGCTTAAAGCTCTTATAACATAAAACACACAAACATTAAAAAGACAATTTTAGGCTAAGGGTTTGGTCAGTAAAAACGTGGATTTGTTTTTCAATTTAAAGAGTAGGAAGTGAAATCAACACAAAGGTCTACTGGATGCCAATAAATCACAATTATTGGATAAACCAACATTTTAATTTTATTACAGAAATATTCACATATGAATTACTGAATACAATTGAGCACATATATATGAAACTGGAATAAAGCTTTGCTCGGCTGGTAAAGTTTTTCTACAAGCATATCTTCAATCAAAACGGTGTCCCGTTTGTTTTTTCTTCTATTCTTAACATTCTGTCCCTGTAACAGACTTTAACATTCTTGACATAAGCAGCTGAATGGTGGTAAAGGTTTAAGGCAAAAAGTGAAAGAACTTGTTTTACAGCAGTTACACAAAAAGGTTGAACTCTAAAACAAAGATTAGTGAAATAGCTTGAAACAACTTGTAATTTAACAGTTGTTTTTTCTTTAGAACCTTACATGGGATTGCTTGAAATGTATAGTTTGGATGTTAGGTTGTTATAATATCTTAAAGACCCAATAATCACCATTATATAACATGAAAACACTTTACAGCGTCCATATCAGATACTGAAAATATTGTCTTATGTACCTTGTATTCTATAATGACTTGAGCTGTATTTAATTTTCTTATTGCACAGAAAAGTTGTATTTAGCACTTCTAAAATGTTCCTTTGATAGCAAAAAAACCCCAAAAAACATTTTACTGAATTTTGAACGGAATCAGTATTTACATTGCTGATATGAAACAACATATGGATTAACAAATATCTTTTGTAAACCAGACAGGGTTCTTCTGTGTTAATCAAAAAGTGTACTAAAACACATACGAAAAAAGAAGAAAAGTCACAAATGGCTTCTTAAGTTGGCTGGAAGTTGGTAATCAGACATTAAAAAGAACCACTCAGCAGAAACAATATTATCTCTGGCCATGTAAAGCATTTACATTTTTACGAGTGTTCACTGTGGAATAGATGACAAAGTTCTCCACCATTCTGGGTGCAGTCTTGGTAGGTGGGCGGGGCTTATCTGGATGCCTCAGACTGGAATATTGTAAAGAATCTTCCTGCAGAGACATTTAAAAAAAAAAGACAACTTCACCTTCTCTGATACTCCGATGAGCACATTAGTGAAAATAAATGGTATATTTCCTTTATAAGAAGTATTAAATATAATGATTTACATATTTGGGAAATACTGAATTTAGAATGAATGGGTGTCAACATCTAGATGGCTACAAAAACAAACTATCATGTTTTTACACGGATCAATGCATTTTGAGGAAATCATCAGACTTTAAACACGAAACATACACAACTAGTGGTTCGGCTGTGTTTTAAACCATAACTAACATTTTAGCAAAAAAAAATCATCAGCATGGTTCAAACATCTACTGACCTCTGTCGCCCTCAAAGTAGGGTTCTGTTTTTCTGGGTTGCAGCAGCAGTGACCTGCTTTACCTGATAATGAAGCAGAATATGAGGGAGATAGAAAATCAATAGAGATTAAGTCTGTTCATGTGATTTATTTGAAATTACATTACTAATCTTGGTAAGTAGGAAGGTTTAAAGACATGGATGAATTTACACTGAACTGTATATATGGTTCAGGTTGAAGAAGAATCATAAGGAGCTTAAATAACGGATGAAGAAACTCATAAAGTCACTGTGTGTCTGTGATCTAAGGGGTAAACGCATGATGCTGTTTCGTACCTTCTTGTAATGTAACTTGACCCCAGACATGCAATGCATGCTTTGTTTTCTTCTAAGTATCTAATATTTAAAATACCATATATTACCATCATATTGATCTAATATTCTAATACTTAACAGGAATCATAACAAAATTACAAAGGCAACCCTTTTTAACTAGATGACTAAAAACCTGAGGGTATAAATGACTGAAACAATGTTATATAGAAAGTGTTAGATCTAGGCTGTCCCTCTGCTAGCCCAAAACATTCCTCAACCCTGCTTTTACTGCCAAGAAGGCTCTGATTTGCAGGAAACAATCTGATTAAGCGAAAGTGAAAGAGTAAAACTTTAAGATCAAAAGTGAAACCTATGATCAGTCTTCTGTCGAAGCAGCTGAGAGAGGGGTCGTCTTTCTTTCCTGACATTTGGTGATAAATAACCACCGTTTTTTCAACTAAAGAACAGAGAAAAGAAGATTTTTCCACCTAATCCTAAAGGAGAAGACGTTTATCTTCCTCCCTAAAGATTTTTACAACGTTGGAGAGCATTATGCAAAACACAGTTTGCATGGAGGCCTTGTCAGCACTCTCTGGGTGCAATGTCGAGGCAACAACCGGACCCTCGCAGCTCACCTCACAGGATTTTGTCAACATTGTAGCCCTCAGAGAGTTCTACAAACAGGAGGGATTTCAGGAACTAGAGTACCCCAGTTTGGGGACATTATCCTTGCAAGACATGGAAAATCAGGACATGTACAGCTCTCCACCAGCCCTGACTGGTGAACCTGTGGTGAGCCTTAGACCAACAGTTAGGGTCAATCCCCAAGACTTCTTCCATCCACAGTTTGACTACGATTTCACCAACATAAAGGTAAGGAGAAAACACAAAGCCTTGTTTGTTTGGAAGCATGTCATGTGACACAGGCCTTACGTAACACAGCAGGTCTAAAGATATGGTTGTCTGAACCTTAAACTAAGATAAATTACAATGATATGAATAAAAAACAAAGAGGAAAAACAGTAAAATTATAGATTCATTTTACAGGCTGGCTTTAAAGTAAGATATGAATGGGGAGTGTTTACAGTTCAAACGTGAATGAGCTACTGCCAAATTTCCATCTGTTAGGGGTTACAGAAGTCCTGTAATAAACAAAGTCCTTTTTAAGTAAATCAGAGTGCTGATCTGGAAGCCATGTAGGTGAAAATAAAAGAAAATAGAAAACAAACAAAAATGAAAACACATCAAACATTTACTGACAGAGATAAAAAAAAAGACACTTGTATAAGTTACTCTCTCATTATAGTGCATTTATTTATAAAAACCTCTTCTGTGAAAAATATTCATATATTATACTGTTATCATGAGTTAATAACAACCCATAAAATCAAAGTATCTAAAACATTTTTACTAATTTTGGAGTCCATCAGTTTCCAAAAAACCCTTTAATTAATATTCAGTGACTTCCTGTTAGTCTGTGGGATAAATATGATGCAATTAGAGAGAAAAAGAAAAAAGAAAGAAAAAAAGGTCATCAAATACCACAGGCAGGTGGCTACTCATCTAATCCTGACCTTCACTTCTTTGCTGTTGTTTTTTGATGTTGTTTGCAAAAGTGTTCCTACCCATTAAACCTTAACAAATGATGTCATGTTACAAATTCAAACTTTGACCATTATGTGAATGGGACTCTATTATTATTAGATTAAAAGAAGGTTGTATATAACTGTGAAGAGGCAAAAACGGATACACAGGATCCTAATTCAACCATTTGAAAAGCCGATGCTGATACCGATTATTCTACATTAGTGCCGATAATTTATCTTTGAGCTGATATTGCTTTTTCTTCCTCCATATACATAATGAAAATGGCACAATGACACCAAATGTTACGCAGGTCTCAATTTAAAGGAAAAAAACTAAAACAATTAATCATTATCTCAATGATCTTGTATCATATTGTCTGATAAAAGATAAAAAAAAACAAAAAAACAACAACAATAATGGCCAAAAATATTGGCTGGCCAAAGTATCGGTCTACTTCTAATAGTATTCTAAAAAGAGTTTTATTCATCTGTATTCAGGTTTTCTTGATGTTTTATAATGCCGCCTTATGCTGTGATTACAGCTTTAGAGTTTAAACCTCCCAATTCTACAAAAACATCAACATGTGCAGCTACTAGTCTTACTTTTCACAATCTTGGTCTTTATGATGATTGATTTCTGAATTTTTTTTGCTCATAATCAGAAACTCCTGCTCTGAGTTTTAACAACTATACAAGCTAAGAGGAGATGAAACTGCATCTGATAAATATTTTCTGGTTTGCAGGATGGTGATAAGACATTTCTGCGTGGAAATGAGAAGTACATTCGCCCCTGTGGATGGAAACGATTCGCCCTGCGTGTCCTAGACAAGTACCCAGATGGGAATAATTGGCTTGGGACAGGGACCAACGCCTGGCCAGTCTCCTACCATGGCCACAACATGGACGGCTCGCTAGGTATCATCCTCACCCGTGACGGCCCACCAAACGACGCGCCAGACTTTCTGGATGCCTGCGCTGCCTCTCTTCTAAAGCCAGACACCAAAGGCAGAGGGGTGTACTCCACATCAGACATCAAGATGGCTGAGAAGTATTGCAAGATTTTCAAGTCCAAGGAGGATGGGAAGCAATATAAGGTGGTTCTTCAGAACCGTATCAACCCAGAAAAAAGGCAGAAGTGCCAGAGAGAGGATGTGTGGTTGGTGTACATCCCTGAAGGCTGCAACGATGTGCAAAAGAAAGCCCTCGTGGAGGATTCCCTCCGTCCTTATGGGCTGCTGCTGAAGCAGCAATAACTTTTTGGATAATTGGTACTCGAGGTTTTCAGGGTTATCATCATGGTTTTCACCTCTGGAAAAATGAAACGCTTTAGAGGAAATGTATGAATTCCATGTCCAAATTTCTTAACTTAGGCTTTATTCTTTTCAGGAAAAGTTCAATTCGAGATAGCAAGATGGAAAACCAGGCTTTGCATTATGGACACGTTCCTCTTACATACATGAACTCCACCTTCCTTGAGTTGAATTTTAAGGTATTATAAACATGCATCTTCTAAAGATACTTCGAAATACTACTGTTAAAATAAATGATGCATACGGATATATAGAGATGCTTTGTCAATTTAGTTTCTTCTTTGACTGCAACTTTTTACTCTCTGTAAAATGGTGCAATTGCAACATATTTTAGATATTATTGCACATAACTGAGGTGACTTGACAAAAAAAAATATAAATTCTTTACACTGGATGCTTTTTACTCTCAATTATACAATGAGTGATAAACCTGTCATATCGCAAAAATTATTGAAGTAATTTATTGTTCCTTTAAAATGAAATTGTCGCTAAAAATTATGTTTTTTTTAATGGTCTGTCATATTTTCTAACAGGTCTAACGTTCCAGTTAGGCCTGAATGACAGTTCAAGGTTGTCTGTTAAGTCTCAACTTTTTCCTAAAACTCTGTAACTGAGTATGAATGAATGTAATAAAATGGAAAGCATGGAAAGCATGATTTATAATGTTCTAATTCCGTACTTTACTGTAATATAGTGCATTGTCCATCACTGACATCACTGACATCAACTGTCACATTTAGAGACATTAAGAGAACAGATGACTTTGTGTTTACTTGCGTCATTTTAAACCAGTAAAACCTGTTTTAAAAACACAGTGCATCTTATAGTTCAGTTCAAACGTACAAAATGTGCTTCACATTTTTCAAACTAGAGCTTTGAGTGAAGTATTTTCATGTTAATACTGAAATTTATATGACTAATACTGTTAATATCATTATTGATATTACTCTGTGACCCTAGATCTTTAATAGATTAATTAAGTTTAAGAAAATATTTCGTTTAAAGATACCATCCAATGGTGTACTTTTTTTTCTCTAAAACATGGATATCAACAATAGTAGAGACAGCTGGGTAATAAAGCATTTATTTCTACTGTGGGATTTCAAAGAAAGAAATAAAACAACAGTTGGTAAGTCATCTTTGTGTTTATGAAATCATTAGAGTTACAAGATCAGCTAAAAATGCCTGATAATCCATAACCACGCATAATAATAATTAAAAAAAAAGTTCTTTAAAAATATAATGTTCTAGTTTATATTGAAGCAGACAAAGTCTTATGAAGTGCTTATAAAATAGTTTTAAAGGTTTCAATACATGTAATGTTTATTCTAGGTTACTAGAACTGAATTTACACACTAGAATGGCTCAACTGAGTTTTAAATAAGTGCTGCAACTCCATCAGATCAACAACAGGGGGCAGTAGAGGTCAATGAACTTACTTGCATAGGTCCTTAATTGAGAAGAGGTTTTGCAAATTCTAACCTGAGTTGATTGAAAGTTTTAAAAATATTTTTCAATCTCTTTTAATTATAAACTTAAAACTGCCTCCAAAAGGCATAGAAAATATACATAACAGAGGAGAGCATCTGTGTTAAAACAGGGGAAGTGTTGTAGAAGTTAGAGGAATGTTAGCAGGAGGAGGATGTATGTGGATACACACCTGAGCACAGGTAGAGTCCAATCAGCAGAAAAGAGCAGAGGCTGAATAATCCTGGAAGGACACAGATCCCAAGACTCCAACAGGGCTGGTGCAGCTTTCCTCCAGCAGGATCCTCTTTACCACCTTAATGAATCAGAAATAATAAATAAAATTAGAAAAAGAAAGAAAGAGTAACAATAATAATTTCCTGTGGAGCTCTTTACCCCCGTAATTCAAAGTTAGACTGAGTTTTGTATTTGTTTCACCCTTCATTTTTATTTTCCGTTTTCCTGCACAGACAAACCTCTGGACTTTTGGACCTTTGTGTATATTTTGCAGCATTTCAGAATAAAATCCACTGATATTTTGTGACCTAAGAGCCAAATGTAATATTATTGTGAGTATTTTTAATGACTTAATTTTACAGGTTAGGTGCCATAAACGAACAGTAGCTTTTATGTTTGAAAACTCCTAGATGACCTTATCAGTTGCCAGGAAGAACAAAAACATTCACTTTTAGTTATTCAGACAAAGAAGAATTATCTTATGGAATCTGTATAAGAAAATACTACATTTGATGACCTGAGTTTTTTTTTATAGGTGATTGATTTAGTGAACCCTCTTATCAAAGGTATACGTACGTTATTGTGGTATTTCTGTGGGAGGCAGAGGAAATTGTTATTTAAAGACAACAAATTGTGCTATCTTCCTTCTCTAGACATGCAAATGTGTCTGGAAACAGTGAAAAACATCTTTCAGAAGTTTTCTGAATGTTATTAAAACTTTCCTACATAAAAAGAACATCAGTTTCATTCTGGTATTAATGGTCCCCACCTACAGACTGCAGCTATACTTCTTTATTTAGGTCCCTCTTGCTCCTTAGACAGATTTTTATTATTTATTTAAAAAATATTATTAAATATTAATATAAATTAAATTATTTTAATATTATTTAATATTATTATTTACAGAAAATTCTTCGCAAATTTGGTTATTTAAAAATAGATAAAGAAAACTATCCTAGAATAAGATTAAATATAAATTGAACTTTATTGATCTCACAATGGAGAAATGAACTCTCCCTTTGGGGAGCAGTGGGCTGCCACTGTGCAGTGCCTGTGGAGCAATCAGGGGTTAAGGATCTTGCTCAGAGAACCATGAGTGGCAGTCTGTGGGATTCAAACTCACAACCTCAGGAATCCAAGCACTACGCCTTAACCACTAGGCCACCATTCCACCATTGTTTAGTGTTTTTGGTGGTAGAGGAAGTGTGTAATTAGTTGATTAATGGGTTCTACATCTGGAATTCACAAACTTTTCAGATTGTTCCTCTGCTGCAATGATCTAAATAAAGTATATAATTATTGCTAAACCCCTGCTAGGTCCTGATTCCACTCGTTCTAGCTTTCTAGCCTTTAAGCAAAACACAAAATATAGGGAAACGAAAGATTGGTCAAGGCATGAGAAGGGATAAGTTAATCCTCCATATAAATGCAGTTATATCCCACTGGATTATTACCTGTACACAATAGAGGTGGGGAAAACACCTTAAGCTCTTCACCTCTGGAAGCACCTATTTTATATAGTCATCCAAAATATACCAGAAATTCTCAAAACTCTTAAGAGCCCTATGTCCCTTATGGATGCTTTTAAGGTAAAACAACACTGTGTTGTATGGAAGCAAATCGTTACCATATTTAAAATGAAAAAGCATTTTCAGAAATTCTTTTTCATTTTAAGAATGTGGCTGCATTGTTTGGCTCATAAATGAATTTAGTAATCAATAATCCTGTTTGCATTTTCTTCTTTGACACCGCTCATCCTTTTACTTAATTAAAATGAAAAAGAAAAAGACATTTGAGATTTATTTTTCAAAATGTACTCCAGCAAATACATATCAAAATTAAATTTGAAATGTAAAATTTGAAAATGAAAAAGCATTTCTGGAAATGCTTTTTCATTTTAAGAATGTAGCTGCATTATTTGACTCATAAATGAAATAAGTAATCAATCATCATATTTGCATTTTAATTTTCTTCTTCAACACTGCTCATCCTTATACTTAATTAAAATGAAAAAGACATTTGAGATTTATTTTTCAAAATGTACCCCAGCAAATACATTCCAAAATTCTATTTGAAATGTAAAATTTGAAAATGAAAAAGCATTTCTGGAAATGCTTTTTCATTTTAAATATGGTAATGATTTGCTTCCATAGTGTTGTAGGTTGTGAGCTGTGTCAAATACAGAACAATAAAAATGTTAGGATTAAGAGGTTTTTCAAGCAGATCTAAAGTTTGTCCAAAAGATTTAATCTCTCAAATTTCTTACATTTTATTTTATTTTTGTCCACCTTTATAAAAGATCATCCTGAGATTAAATAAATGCAGGCAAAAGAAGATCAGGTCTTACCATTGATTTTGAGGTGAATTCCTCTCCCTACACACACCTTAGCTTTAGACAGCCCAGAGCAGAAATACAGCCCAGCATCCTCCTCCTCCACCGCCTGGATGTCCAGCCTGATCAATCCGCTCTCCAGGTTTCCTGTCCATTTTATACGACTGTGGCTTTCGTTGTTATAATCAATTATCTCTTTTATTATTCTGCTACATGAGACTCTCAGCAGCGGCAGTAGCTGGTCTGAAAGAAGCCGATACCAGGTGACCTCTGAGTCAGAGGTGAGGTTGCAGGTCAGAGAGACATTCTGCCCCCTGTGGACCACCAGTGTAGAGTGGGAACTGCTGGACAGGGGAGATTGGTGACATCCTGCAGCACCTAAGGAGAATTTACAAGTCAGAATCATAAACATAAATTACATGTCATATTTCTGGAACATGTCAATACCTTATTGAAATATTCTTTTTGAACCAGTGGCTATCATGGACAGGCAAAATGGTTACATGCCCTAAATGCTCCTAAAAAAGTTATTAAAGATGCAACTTTACTATATTTTTAAATATATTTTTATTTATTGATCTCACATTGGAAAAATTTACCTCTGCAATTAACCCATCCCCTAGTGGGCTGCCAACATGGTGCGCCCAGAGAGCAGTGTGGGGTTAAGGGTCTTGCTCAGAGAGCCAGAGTGGCAGTCTGAGGGAGTGGGGCTTCAACTCAGAACCTCAGGATTCCAAGCTCTGTGCCCTTAACACTATGCCGCCATACCATCATTTTTCTGTTGTTTAATTGCTGAAAAATAAAAGCAATAAACCACAACTGGTTGTAGGAAGTTTGAGGCTATATAGGTCCATCCAAACAAGGTTGCTGGTGCCTTTTTTCAAGCTCTCTATGGGCGAGAGGCAGAGTCCACCCTGAACAGGTCGCCAGTCCATCACAGGGCAACACAGAGACAAACAACCAATAACGCACACCTAAGGAGAATTTAGAGAAGCCAGTTAACCTAACAGTCATGGTTTTGGACTGTGAGATGAAGCCAGAGTATCTGGAGAGAACCCACACATGCTCAGGGAGAACATGCAGAAAGACCCCAGGCCAGGAATCGAACACAGAACCTTTTTTGCTGCAAAGCAGCAGTGCTACCCACTGCTCCACTGAGCACCCCTATGTTATGTGCTCTGGGCACATCCTTATTTTGTTAATTCTTCTTTCTAGATCACCCTATTTAAGTCCAATGTTAAACATATTGGCTGTTTCACTGTAATGATGAAATTGAGAAAACTTTTGTTTAAATTATTTAGCAGACTGTTTACTTTTTAAGAAGATTATCCCAGATTTGAAAGCGATTCTTCAAAAGATGTGTTATTATTTATTAAAAATTGAAAAGAAATTAATGTTCTTTAATCATTATATATATAAGGTACTATGATATTATATGTTTTGCTTCAGCTGTTTAAATTATTATAATGATAATAATAAGATTACGGTAGATCATATTTTTTTAACATGATTTAAAGTTAAAATCTCTAACAATGAAACACAAATTTGTCTGTGTTTCTTTGAAATAAAAAAAAAGAAAATGGTCAAAATTAAAAATTGTGACCTCAAAGGTGGACATACGCATCAGTCAAAAAGTTTGATTGGTCCAGTACTAAGCACATTTATCACAATTTCTGTATCGCATGAATGATGCAGAAATATCTGCAGATTAAATAATAAAAATTAGTTACTTACAAAGAAAAAGGACAATCCAAAAGAGAAATGCCATGTTAAGGAGAACAAATATCCTCAGGACAGACTGACAGACTAGCAGGAGGGTGAACACTGTGAACTGAACTGAGTTTAGTTGCAGTTTTTTATTACAGAGGAAGTTCAGGGGGACGTTGTTTTGCCACAGAATTCAGGGGAGACCACCAACATGTTTCTGCTATAGCAGAAAACGGAAGAGTTGGTGTTTTCCATGTGCAAATCAACATCAGCATTTCTCCATTTGAACCCAACTCAGAGTTCACAGATAACTTTCATTTCTGCAGAGAAGCTTAAACTGCCACATCCAAAATGACACGCCCGCTATTATTTCTCTCTCATTCCCTCTCTTTGCATAGTTTTTCACACTTCAGGTCTTTACAAATTTTTGTCTATTTAAACATTTTTTTTTTTATCTAGAAAACCATTAACAACTTTGTCAAGTTTTTAGCATTGTTTAGATTTTGAACATTTTGTTAAAAAATGAGGAATTGACACAAAAAATTGGAAAGATTATAGAGCAAAGACATGAACATAAATATGTAAAACACAAAAATAAATTAAATAATTAATTAATAGAAAAAAAAACAAAAAAAATTTCTAGATGTTTTAAATGTTGTTTTAACATGATGATGTTTTAACATCAAAATAGAGCTTTTCTTTAACATATATAAATGTTTACAAGACGCATTTTATCTAAAAAAGCACCTAAAAGGAGAGCTCTTATGATATAAAATTCCCTCTGGGGTTATTAAAGTATGTCTGATTCTGATTCTGATAAAGAATTCACCAATAGGAGCAAAAGGATGTGCTTTTATTTTGAAAAACAAGAAATCGAAACTTAAAGCGCGTCACTCCTGACTTAAAACTGAAAATCCTCAGCTGTCATCAACACACTTACCAGCAGCTGTGGAGGGAGGTCAGAGATGAAGATTCAACTAAGCTACCAAAAAGTAAACACAATGAAAAAGGGCCAAATGCGACTCTGGTAAGAAATATTTTTGTTTTCTGTATATTTTCTTTTATTTTCTTCTTTTTTTATTTTGTGACAGATATAGTTCAACAATATGTATTTAAACTTCTTTTTGAATATCTTTGTGTTCATAAGCTCTTAGTATTCTATAGTTTTCTCCATTAAATATGGCTTTAATCTGCAAATATAGCATAGATCCTCTTGCAGGATGCATAGAGAAGAGACTGCAGATGCAATGCACCACGTGTTGCTCTCTCAGTGGCCGCTGGGGGGCGCACTGAAAGGTTTCGTTTCTCTGGAAACTGCAACTCCTCAGACATGAAACCTAAGATAAATAACATATAATATCACATGCTTATCTCATGGGAGTGTATTTACTGTTAGTTTCATTTCTAGTATTTTTTCTCTTAATTATTAACCTATTTCAATCCTATACTTACAAAGAACAACTGTATTTGGACTCTTTAAACATAATATGTTTTCATCAAATGTATTATTTAATTCCTAATATTTTCTAATAATATGGTAATCTACATCTAGAGATTATAATTTACATCTAGAGGTTTTCTATCTGCTATTAAAAAAAATAATAAATATAGTATATGAATAAAATGTAAATAGTAAAATTAATAGCAGTAATACGATAACATTTATTTAAGCTATGGTTATAGGTTTTTTAAGTAGATGAGGACCAGTGCAGACATTATTTATAACTCTTTAAATTCAATAGATCTTGTTAGCATATATTGTCATTTTTTATTTAATTCAATCATCTTTGTCTTTTGAAAATACAAAACCGCATAAAAACTATTATTATATTATAAAATTATATTACAGCTTCTTGTGTTATTTATTGCAGTGGATCTTTTTTTTCTGTTTGTGTGGGTTTTAGGTTTTTCATATATCTGCAGTGTTTCCTTCCTGGCAATTTAGTTGGTGAGTATTCATGCGTAGTTTGTGGTGTAATTGAAGCATTTATTCGGATGTCTGTTCTTGAAAAGATTTCATAATTTCATTTTATCTGAAGCTTATCAGGGTTTGGTGTTTAGAGAGCAACACACCTAGATTCACATATTAGGCAAGAAATAAGAAGACCAATAGAAATTGGTTGGGAAGTGCCCTCTTAGATTTATATATTAATTAGGGCTGCAACTAACGATTATTTTGCAAATCAATTAATCTGTCGGTTGTTGTTTTGATTAATCAATTAATAATCAAACACTAAAAGGTTCCTTAAAGAAGATTTTTTTTAATGAAATTAAACCAGGGAAAACTAAAACGTTTCCATTTGAGGTGTCTTGGATAGAGCATATTAACAGACAAATTTATTTATTTTTTTAATCTTAAATGCAAAGTGTTTATATATATTTACAATCTTGGTATAATTACTGCTCTTAGTCGGTCGCTCTGTCAGCTAAAGGCATATTTTACAGCCTCTATACTCCATTTAACGATTTAACCGAATACTAAATTAGTTGATGATAATTTCAATAATCAATTAATCTGATTGTTTCAGTCCTAATATTAATAATGTATAATTTGATGTTGAAATCTCACTCAGCTGTGCTAAATATAGCTCATGTCTATTTGCTTTTATGGAGGTGGGGTTTACAAACAATAAGAAATAGTAAAGAAAAACTAATGTTTTAAACTCACAATATTGAGAAGAAATACAAAAACAAACTTTCTACATCTCTATTATGAATTACAGCTTAAATATTTTCATTGTTTCCAGTTGTCCTTAATACGGAAGAGGATTAGGGCCACTGAAAAAAAATAAAAAGTTAACTGATTTTTTAAATTTCAGTATAGTATGGGAAAAAAGTCAGAATTCTGACTTTTTTCCTCAGAATTCTGAGATTAAAGTCAGAATTCTGACTGAATTCTGACAATAAAAAAGTCAGAATTCTGAGAAAAATGTCAGAATCCTAAGATTAAAGTCAGAATTCTGAGAAAAAAGTCACAATGTTAAACTGAAATAAAAAACAAAAATAAGTTACCTTTTTTTTTTTCAGTGGCCCTAATCCTCTTCCGTACCTTAATATTTCACAGTTGTTAGTAAAATTCCAGCAATTTAGTTTTTATTTGCATATTACTCTGTATCCAATTTTTGAGTTCTTCCATCCATCTGAAAAACAGATGGCATGTAGAAAACATCTAAAAACTGTTTGTGTCCTCCAGACTCTTCGGCTCTGCCCTCTGGCGCCCAGCCAGTTCCCGTCATATCCATGGCGGGTAGTGAGGTGGTCCTTCCCTGCAGCTGGAAGGACACCCAGGCAAAGACGAACCCGTCCGCCTGCCACGTCCAGTGGATGTCTCCTCCACACACCGTATTTGAACAGCTTGGAGAAGACAAGTGGCAGGCGGCAGAGTTTGAGGGCCGTGTCGAGGTTCCTCAGGAGAACCTCCTTTCTGGGGATTGTTCCCTGATCATCCGGGATGTTCAGATTCGAGACACGGGGAAATATGAGAGCTTCATATTGGTGGATGGAGCGAAGGCCAGAAATAGCCGGGTCTTCGTTCAGAGTGTCAAATTATCTGTAACTGGTAAGTATAGAATTAGGAGGAATAGGTTTATTTTTAATCTCTTCCTTTTTACTGTGATAGAGCTTTATCTGTTTTTTTTTTTTCCCTAAATATTTTGTATTCATCTCTAAACAGGATCTTTGCTTTGTTCTCTTTCTCAGACCACAAAACCCGGGAGCTTCGAATGCCAGGTGAAGACCTGGTTTTGAAGCTCTACACCTCCCACTCATATGCAGTGGTCTTCCAGAGCAGGTTAGCTGGTCACATCTAAAATATATATGTAGATAAAAAGAAAGTTTGGTTTCAATTCAGCTCAGTTTATTTCTATAGCGCCAATTCACAACACACGTCATCTCAAGGCACTTTATAGTTCACCAGATCATACAGTCAAATTGATTGATTGTTTTCTATCTAAGGAAAACCAGTTGATTGATTGACTCACTGACTTGAATGCAATCCCTCACACTAAGCATGCTTGTAGCGACAGTGGAGAGGAAAAACTCCCTTTTAACAGTAAGAAACCTCCAGCAGAACCAGGCAGTGGTTGAGCCCTTTTTTTTTCATTTTGTTATAAATATTATTTGCTCCTTATACTGACTCTCAACATAAAATGCTTCGCTATGCAGAGTCTGCATCCTAAAATATATTATCCACAGTACAATCTGTTGTCATTAGATCCACATTTTTAATCAAACCCAAACATCCTATGATAGCTTTCATTATTTGGAGGCTTAATTCATTGCTAAGTTCATGGTTAATTAAAAACACATCAGTCGATCCGGGGTCTGAATTAAACAATTTTCCATTGTTGGGTCTGATAAGTGATCAGCAGGCTAAGATTAATCTAAATACTATTTCTTATTTTTAAAAGTATAACAAAGGTAAGAACTTAAACCGTTTGTAGTTTATAAAGTTATGAACCAACATCATGAAATTAGAGATTAGCTTGAAAACTAATCTAATAATTTAAATGTTTACATGAGGTTCTTTATTTTTGGTTGCTGGTTAAAAACAAAACTGTAAAAAAAAAACATTTATATCACATAACTCTAACTTAAAAAACAGAATAATGCAATAAGATGCATAACATGGTGCCTTGAAATTCAAAATATTAAATAACCTTTATGTTAATCTGTTACCTTGATGGAGGTTCTTAGGGCTATTGTCTTTCTGTAGTAGATATTTTAGTTGTTTTGGGAATAAAAGTCATTTAAAACAATCAGTAAACATGTTGCTTTGACTCTGCTTTGCTGTAAATAATGACACAGTGCAGCAAGTTGCCTTGCAAGTGAGAATGGATACAGTCTTTGGCAAAGTTTCTGTCTGATCCTGTCACAAAGCATTGAATTTGGATTCTCAGAGACAAAATAGACAGTTTCCCACAAACTAATGTTTTGGTAAGAGGCTAGACTCATTTAATTCAAGGTTATTTCAACAATCCTTCTAACACAGAGAAACTGCCTGTGAGGAATCAGTAAGATAAGACTCACATCTAGCAGATGTTCTGCTTGAGTAAATACTTTTTTGCAATAAAAGAAACTAAACAAGCTCACAATCACGTCATTAACTAAAACGTAAAATTATTTTTCTTATCTCAAAATCAAAATAAAACCTATTGTTTTGTTCTGTTGTAAACAAAAGCAGTCAGGTTTCAGAGCGCTTTCAGAGTTGGGTCTGCAGTAATGGTGCATCCTCCAGAGAACATGCATTTTTCAAAAATCTTTGTTTTATATTTCCCGTTTTGCACCAGGAACAGTTCAGAGTGGGTGAACTTGTGGAAGAGGGGTGATGAAAACACCGAACGCCTGGAAAAGCATCCACAGCTGGAGCAGTTAACGATAAAGAATCTACAAAGCTCAGATGACGGATTATACAAAGTTTTGGATGAAAACGACCTCTGTGTCAGCACAGTGCAGCTCATGATAGAAGGTGAGACAGCACAGGGTCACATGAACAAGTCAAAACAAAAGCTGTTTTCCTTGTTCTTGGACTTGTGAGGCTGAAACTAAAAAAAATGTTTTTGGTATTGTTTTAATGTGAGCCTAAATATGCATTATAATAATTATAAATTTTGTATTTATGTTTGCAGAGAAAGGGTACTCTTTCAGGGTCAATAAAAAGCAGGAAAATATTCCAACAGGTGAGAATTTCTGATTCTGATTTCTGATTCAAGAAGTCAAACTGACCTTTGTACTTTTAAAACAACAAGCACACAGTCTTGCTTTTTTTTTTTTTTTTAAATCCACACTAACTGTCCTGTAAAAGGATGAGAGTAATTTAGGAGTCAGTGTTCTACTTTAGTTTTTTTGTCTCATAGTCAAATACCAAAATATGTTACACATATCGACGTTTATAATTTATGTCTGACAGATACTGTTTTTGTTTGTACACTGCAAAAAATGGAAATCTAAATAAGTCATTTTTGCTCAAATTAAGTGCATTTTTTTCTTGATTTGAGGAGGTAAGTGAGACACTTTGCCAATGAAACAAGACAATTTACATTTAAAATAATAATGTCTTATTTCAAGTGTATATTATCTAATCCTCTTATTTTAGCAGTAAAAATACTCATTCCATTTGCAGATCATCTTATTTACCTGCTCAAATTAAGGGTAAATACACTTATTTTAAGACATTTTTTACTTATTTCTAGATGTTTTTTGCAGTGTAACTATTCTAAAGAAAAAGAAAAGGTCTTAAAAAAACACTTTGACCTAAAATAACATTTTGTTTCTGCTCTGATGTCTTTTTAGATGCTACAGGTAAAAGGAGCTACTCAGCTCTTCTCCTCTTGTCTGCTCTGCTCTCATGTCTCCACGTTTTTCATCTTCACTGAGACATTTGTTTTCTGCAGAGTAACTTTCTGAACAACTACAGAACATGCAGAGTTTTGCACTTTATGCTCAACAGACAGAGTTGCTTTGGACATAAACAAGTCTTGTGTGTTGAATGGATGCGTTCAAGCATAATTTCATTAGGAACGTTTGCAGCTGTATCAACAGGCCTTGCTCTCCTGGCTATGATTGTAGTCCCCAAAGGTGACAGTGGGGTTGTTCCGGTTCTGATGCCCAACAATTAAAAGGTGTTTCTGTGTTTTAAAAAAAAGTTTATTTACTAATGCGTAGCAGATTCTTACCTTTGGAGGGTGATGCAGACCACGATTCTATTAATAAATACCTTATGAAATAGTTTTTTATATGTCATTAATTTACTAAAACTAGAAATACATAATGCATAACTAATTATATGGACCTCTGTTGAATTTATTTTTTTAAATATAATTTCATGATTTCATAAATTGATTCATGTTCCTGCACTGAATCACACCATGATTTCATTAATTTAATGTAACACATCCATCAAAGTCAAGAAGGCGGGACTAGGGCCGCTCGCATAGAAACCCTGACGTCTGATTGGCTGCTTCTAACTGCAAGATAAAACTTTTTCAATATTATCACTGGATTAGGCGGTAGGAACTTCAAAAAGGCGTTGCAATTCTTTAAAACACAATAAATAAGCAAATCCAGCCTCCAAATCCTTAGTTTGGTTTAAGTTATATCTAACTTGCTTATGAAAGAGCCTTATGTGGTCTAGTAAGGTGTGGGAGATGCCAGCGGCTTTAAGTGAATTAAAGTTGGCCCCGCACACTTACCAGCACCCTCATTAACTTTTAATAGGCCAAACAATCGATATAGGCTAGAATTGCTGTCCCAATGTGGTGCAAACAAATGGCGAATAATTTTTTTGTTTTGTGAAAATGTTGACAGAGCGAAATAAAACCAGGAAGAAGTTGTTTTATCTTGTGCAGTGAGAAACAGCCAATCAGATGTCAGGATTTCTATTTTTTAATTCATGATGTGCTTCAAGAAACTCGAAATGAATTTATTAAATCACAAAATGATTATATTCTCTTTTTTTAACTTAAGTGAATAAACTTACCCGAGGCCCTTATAATTAATTACGTATTCATAAAAGAAATTCAGTCATTTCCAGTTTTAATAAGTTAATGACACATTTAAATTGATAAGTTATTTATCTACTGTATTGTGACACTCCTCACGAGGGCTGTGGGGGGGGTTGATTCGGCGACATATATCTTGATTTCCAGCTGCGCGATTCATCGATCTTTCAGTTCATAGTATGGATTTTTTTTTTTATCATGCAGCTTTTATATTAGTTAACCACTGGAAGAATCTGTTGGAAGTGTGTCTCCTAGGAGGTTTTTTTCAATCTTATCAGTACAAATGTTCGCCTTCTTTATAATTTCTACCTAATCTAAAGCAAGTTATTCATGAAGACTTTGGGAGATAATTATTTTTGTGAACTGCTTTCAAAATACCTTTAATACAAAATACTGAGATGTTTGCCATTGTTAATATATGATTTCTATCACTCTGTATCTGAACCAAATATTTACACACTGCTTTTCTACATATTTAACTCTTTATGTAGCTTACAATGTTTTTTTTCCCCTTCTGTTGAAGTTATAATCTAAGTTTGATTTAGAAACCTAACTAGCCTTGTACATTGTGAGAAAAGAGGTTCTTCATTTTAAGTGTAGTTTGTCAAGAGGTTTAAAGCCAGTATACATATTACATAATATTAGTTATAAATTCTTAATTTAGCAAAATGAGAGTTAAGCTGCTCCCAGAGGCTGAAGTTACTGGTTAGTTTGAGAGGAAAACTATCTTCTATGTACTTGGACTCAAAGTTAGGAAAACATTTTGTTTTATAATTTGTAAGTTATTTTTTCAATTAAGAAAGAACAAATCATATAAAAGCAGTTCCATTTTAATTTCTTATTTTGGTACTGATTTCAACATGGAGAAAATGGATAACGAGCACACATAAATAAACAATATCTGATAAACGTTAACGCATCACTGCAGCAGCATGAACTAAAACATCAAACACAGTAACCTCTCCATGTGTCCCACAGTCCTGGTTACCTCAGGACCAAAACAATATTTAGAAGAATTTATTTCTATGCTTGTTATCAGTTGAAAAGTTATTTTAGTAGGGAAATCAGAAATTGTAATAGGTACTGTTTGGTTNCCTCTCAGAAACAAGGCTGGCTTCAGTCTCCGGGCAACCTCATCTGCTTTGATTAAAAATATTAATATAAAAAACAAGGGTAACAGACAAACAAAACCTCACTTCAAAATCAGATGTTTTACTGTGAAAACTGGTTTGAAGTTATAAATATACAAAAAGTTACATAAATATTTACTATCCCATAATTATTGATATTGACTGTATCTATAAAAAAAAAGCACTAAAAATAAATATAAAAATCTAAACTTTTTCGGTAGAATCTTTAAAAGCATGAAACCCGAGTTAAAAAAAAGTCTGTAATAAAAGAACTGCTGAAAAAAAGCCCCCAAACTGAGTTTTAAAGTGTCAATAAAATATAAAAACTTAACCAGAAGCACGTGTGACTTGTGTGATTTGAACAGGAAGGTAATCTGTATAAAATGTTTTTGATTATTTATTCAATAAAAAAATGCAAAGTAAACAGTTTTGGTCTTTAATGATTCATTAAGTCTTCAGGATATTAGTTTACATGGGAATGACGACATGAACAACTTCACAGGAATGAGAACACAAAGAACTTTTTACAGCCCAACAAAGGAACGACTTCAGGAAGCTTCAGTCAGGGAATTTCCTTACAAGTAAATCAAAAGCCTTCCCTAAAATATTGCCTCTTTTTTGTCATCCAAAAAAACATGAATTAAAACGCTATTAGAAATTCTGACCCTTTGCTGTTTTTACACATTTCACTTTTTAACAGAGGCAATTCTGATTTTCAAGAGGAATTTAATTTGATCCGCTGATAGTTATTAGAGTGTGCTCTGATTCATTAGCAACAGGTCACTACATTTTTTTTATTTGAGAGGCCTTCTTAATTGATGAGATATATCTGAGGCACAATCAGAGGCACTGTAGCAATATCAGATCTTTACAAATAAAAAAAATGATTAATTGACATGTGAGATTTGAGCCATTTCTATTTTATACACATTTCATAGGTCATAAATATGTATTTAATAGGCATTTAACGGGAGCAGGGTTGGAGAAAATGAGAACATGTTTGCAAAAGCTTCAATGAATGAATTGTCTTGGTTTTTCTTGGTATTAATGCTTCAGGAAGTAACGATCTAAAGGTCGATGGCTCTAGTCTAAACAAAGACGGGAAGTCAGCAGTACTGAGAGATGCTCCTTGGCTTTTATTATCAGTATATAAATAGGATTTGTTGACATGAAGAAATTGCGTTTCCTTTTTAGGGTCAGTCTCTATTCTTAAGCTCAGTTCAAGTAGTTTTCCAGAAGCCGGTGCAGCGTTATGATTCAGAAATCAGTTTCCTCTGACGCAGGAAAGCCTAACTACAGGCTTTCTGAGAGAAAACAACACCTGCCTGCACACATGACAAAACTGCTGAATTTTCAATTTCAGTTTAGCAGGTGTCCACTTAATGTCTCAGATAAATACTTTCAGTGTCATGATTTTAACCCCAACATTTAATTGTTTTAATACATACTGGGGGGGAAAGTAACAATGAATCTAATTCCTTAAACTGATAATTTCAACTGGGATTTAGCAGCTGGTTGGATGATCGAACTATTGCTGCTTTATGTTCATAGCAGTTTCCTTTTTTACTATTAAAGCAATGCATCTTCTTATCTTGTCAAAAGGGAATATTACGGTCATGTGTGAATTACTTATTTTACTTTTTAAGGCCTAAAAGGGTTTCAAATGATGATCAGAGGAAGAGATGAAAGTACCTCCTTCCTGATCTGTGATGCAACTTGGAAAAAAAAGGGGGGGGGGCTATTACATTTCAGCAAGCCTTAAAGAGGATGGATTATCTTCCAGACTGAAGCCCTGTTCGTCTGGGTGTTCCCACGCAGAACAAGCCGCCTTTTCAAAAGTTAGGTTTATGCTTCTTCACCTCCACCATGAGATGGTGGAGGTTGATGAGCTCAGAGCGGACGGCCAGGCTGCGGAACGTCGGCTGGTTGAGGATCTTGTGGAAGCCGTGGTAGTACTGGATGAGCTGAGTCAGAGCGCCCTGCAGGGGCACGACAAACGAGGAGAGGTGGTTAAAGTTTGCAAACTGGCTGAGCAACTCTTGTTTCCACTTACAGAAATATCTTTAATCTTTTTTTTTTCCTTTGACCTTAAGTGAAGCTAGCTCAAGCTAATAAAAATATGCTTGTAAATAATTAACTAATGCAGAATCTCGTAAAAAAAAAAAAAGAAGCAGTTTTCAGTGTTGAGTCTTGCAAAAGATGGAGACACCAAATCAATAACTTTGTTACCTTCCAAGCTTTCTAATTCATATTTTATTAAATGAATTCAGTGAGGTTCACTATTCCGCTTGTGCAGCAAAACATCTACATGACATGACACTGTCACTTATTCATCACACTGTGTTTTTTTGGATTAAAATAGGGACACCTCCAAGCCTAATTTTGAAGTCAAACACTCAAATTTTAGTTTCATCAAACCAACCCGAGCTGCTGCTTCTCAGAATGGCATTTCAGGCTGTCTCACAACAGGATGTATTGCATTGTGGGTAATGATACTCTATTACAAGCCTTTTTTTTTATTTTTGGAGTAGATTTCATACCAAATAAACACGGATGTTTGGGACACAACTTTTTTATCTCGAACAGCGTAATAAATGAACATAAGCATCAATGTTTGCAATTATAGTCTGATAGAAGATTAAAAAGATTGTTGAAGGTCAAAGACTGGCTGTGGACACAAGTGTAAATTCGGGGTAAATATAATTAAATTTCATGTTGAAAGGAGATCAAGTAAAATAAAAAAATCATGAACAGGCAGCAGTAGATGAGGCAGACTGATTCTGGTTTGAATAACACACCTGCTGAACTGCTCACCTGTATGATGCTGGTTCCATTTTTGAAGTTCGTAAAAGACCTCATAACATCTTGACTCATCGCCTCCACTGACTGCTTCCAGGTGCTGGAAAACCCTCGGACCAGCTGGGTGATCCGAGCTGCACACAAACACTCTTATTATGCATTTAGAACCGTTTGTTCTCTCTATCCATCATACAGAAAAGAGATGGACAGTATGTTTTGGCTTCTTTGCTTTATGATCAACTTTAGCCCATTTCCTGACTGGTTTCGTATATGACTGAAACAAAAGAAAACAGGTATGAGGGTTGTGGTTGTGAGGGGAAATGCTTTGGTTGTCATCAGACACAAAAGGATGTGGGAGGCTCAAGTGTTTTTAGAGATTTGGACAGTTAAGAAATAAAACTGCATGGACAGCAGAAAGCTGAAGAGGGAAGTGGCTCATTGTTCTGTAAAACAAAACTGGAGGCTGAAATGAAACAAACAAGTTAAGGTGTGAAACTAGAAAGGTGTAATGTTTCGTTGTGACCGTTTACACAACAAGCAACAACTACAATAGAAGCAATAATTAAGCAAGCTACGGATTTATCTGTGGATTTGCTAAAGTCACAAAACTCAACGACTAAATCCCTTCGATTTTGAAACAGCATTTTCAGTTAAAGCATCTGAAGAAATAAACATTTCCTCATTTTCATGAAACCTTTACTTAGGCAATAAATCTTTATGTTAACAGCTGCCTTTGCTGAAAGAGAAGAAGCTGTTTTGGGGGATTCACTGTCAGCTCTTCAGGTGAAGTTGGTGCGTTACAGCCTTTCCCTCACCTTCTTCATTCTTTAGTCGGTCCAGCTGGCCTTTCTCCATCAGTGCTTCAGCCTCCTTAACAAAGGCAATCATTCCTCCAAAAGGAGGGGAAAGAATCTCCTCAATAAACTCCTGGGAGATGGAGAAAAAGCAGAGAGGAACTTTTAGAGGTACATTTGCTTAAAGTGGATTTAGAAAAAGAAACAACCTTGAGGCTAACTTCTTTTTAACACCCAATGTGTGATTAAGTTTAGGATCAAGCAGTATTATCTTTCAGGATTCTCAGCCCTATTAAATTGCCTTTAATAGGATGGAAACTGGGAAGGTTCACCACTGTTAATTGTCTTCTCCTTTAGTAGACAATTTCTGTCATTAAACTTCCAGAAATCCCCTAATTTTAGAGTTTATCTTGTAACTTATGCTTCAGGTTGTTTTAAGTGACTTATTGGTTGGACATGTCTGGGTGAATCTATTTAAACCATATCGAAAATGCAATTAATCACAGCTAATGTATGATTTACCAAGGGTATCCATTTTTCTACTATGGCCAGGCATGTTTTCCTCCTTTTTTTGTTTTGATATTCGACAAGCAACATTGATGGTGACATTTATCCTGAAGTTTTTTATTTTCTAACTTTTTATATATCTGTAACCTCCATATACTACAGCTTTTTTGTACAGAAAAAGGGCTATATAAGGTAGATAACAGCAATATGCATAAAAAAGACAGAATCAAATACCTAATACAGAATAAATAAATAAAAGATTAAACAAAGACCAACCAAAAAAAAATGTAATTATCATAATTATTAACCATCAGTAATATAATTATTTTAATTCAAAAGGGCATAAAGAATAAACATAAGAACCCACCTGTGTTCTAGCGAGTAGCAACTGTTGAAAACTTTCTACCTCTTTACTGTCATCTGCTGCCCTCTCCTGGACAAGTTAGAAAACAACAACCCAATCAGGACTCAAAACAAAAATGTTTGTGCCGCCAATGATTGAAAATGTATAAAGAAGTTTTCTTTTTTACACTGTGAATCTATAGATTACTGTACAAATTAAACTTCAAGTGGTACTCACCATCAGGACGCTGAGCAACATGTCGTAGTTGTTAATCAGGAAGATGAGCTGATCTCTCCTGGAGGGAAACTCTGCGGCCATCTTCAGCACGAAATTTTCAACATCAACCTGCAGACAAAAAAAACAAAACCCAAAACAATAAACTCAGAATCAATAGAATGAATAAATGTCGTCAAAATGATTCTGTTTTGTTTTACCCCACATAGGAAACCTGTTTAATACCAACTGTAAAAATAACTAAAGTCACAAATGTTTCTAAATAATTTTAAACAATGAACCATCTTGCTATCATTATTCTGAATTTGGACTTCTAAGGTCCTTCCAACATCACACTGAAACACCCTTCAGAGACATATTCAATAAACCTGTTTGTGTGTTACCTGCAGCTGAGCCAGCAGAACGTTGGTCCTCTCATTAGGAAATGTTTGGTTGATGCTCACAATAGCTGAGGAGAACTCTGCATAGCGCCGAGTGATCTGAAACCGGCAAACACTGAGTCACTTTAACTAACAACTCTTTACTCTTTGTGATGAAATATCGGTTTGACCTGCTGGCCAGTTGCACGAAGAAATGCATACTTTCACTGCAACAGCTTAAAAAATATTTATTCAGAAATTAATATTTGAGGTATTTCCAAAATGTTGCATTACATGCATGTAACTATAATGTTAGATTATTTGCAGAAACAATAATTAAATTGCATTCTACCATACTTCTCTCTTTGAATCAGCTATGGAAAACTATTCACCCTGAACAACCAGCTACTTTAGGAAGAACCTTTTGTTGCATACTATCCTTCTAGAGCAGTGATGTCAAACGTAAATCATCAGGCCCGAAGTCCTGCAACTTTTAGGCTACATTCACCCTGCAGGCCTTGATGCTCAATTCCGATTTTTTGTGAAATGCTTTTTTTTTTTTTGCATTGCTGTTTACATTTCCAAATATATGCGACTCGTATGTGATCTCCTGCGTGAACTGCATTCATACAACCTAAGTGTCCTACATGCGCAGCAGAAAACAATGACGCAACAAGCAAGCGTGCTCTGTGTTTATGGAAGTAAACATGGATGGTAGTGCTGGAGAACATCTAGCGATCATTTCCAACCTTAAAAACTCAATCTTTCCAAGATGGTTAAACATAAATACTACTCTTGGCTGTTCAGACAAAGGCCGCATTTGAAAAGATCAGAGTTGTATCAGATTCAGGACCACGTAGCCAAGCAGCCTGGGTCGCATTGGAAAAAAATGGATCTGTGTTGTTCAGACAGTCATGAAAAGATCAGATGCGGGTCGCATATGGATAAAAAAAAAAATCGGATTTGGGTCACTTCAGGCTGAAATGTGAACGTAGTCTCAGATGCATCTGCCACGCTGTTATGCAGCGAAGCTCTAAGGAGCTCTGCTCTGATAATGAGCTATTACTGAAATCAGGTGTGTTGAAGCAGGAATAGATCTAAAAGTTGCAGGTTTAAGGCCTTCAAAGGCGTTTGAGACCACTGCTCTAACGGCAGTCAGTGACTCTTTTCTAGAATACTGTTTACCAACTAGTCTTTCCCAAGATTATTTAGGCCATATTATGGACTAAGAGTCAAGTTTGTTTCCTATTTGTCTTATGTACGGTAAATCAATATTTAGATAGAAATGCAGTTTTGGCTCTCCATTACCTGGGAGGCCTAAAAACTAAATAAAAAATATCAAACACTTAAAATATTTCAGTCTGTATGTTGGAGTGAAAATAGACTTTCTGATTGTATATAGACTGTATATCTCATTGAAAAACATAATTAGGTTGTGTGTGGCCCCACATACGTAGTGCGGTCTGGTGTCCAGCACTCCCAGTTTCTGAGGGTCAGTGTTTCTGATGCTCTGGATGTTCATCTCCAGAAGGAGTTCAAACCTGGGCCATAGCAGCTCCAGCACAGCCTCCCAGTACCTGAAACACATTCAGAACTTCAGCCTTTTTCAGGTGACATTAGGGCTTTCTCAGTAATACAGTTAATATCTCTATATAGCTAAACTGAGCTTTAATGTTAAAGATGAGTTAAGATCATACAGCCAAGGCTAAAACTCTTAAAATAATCACTCTTTGCATTCTTTTTGACATCATTAATATCAGGTTAAATTAATCTCCAGCTCATATTTTCTGTTAATTTGACTAGTAATAGAGTTTACCATATTAATGTTTACAGCTATCTGTGTTGAATGACTGAGGAGACATTCTCTTCACAGAATTTTTATCTAAAGTTTCTAGACAAAAATGAACCCATGATATCCTTTCCTGGACATGCAATGCAGATATACAGTACTAAGAATAACAGAATCATAAATGTGTTGCACTAGTTGTTCATTAGTTACTTTAAATGGCATGAAAAAAAAGAGCAAGTGAATCAATATTATACGTTTTCCATTTCAATATGAAACTAACTTGTCAAGAGCAGGAATGTCCCTCTTTGCTGTGATGGCTCTGAATCTGAGGATGATGTGGATGCAGAGAAAGATAGCGATGCTGTCGTAGCAGTCGGACACGTAGGTGGACATGCTCTTCTACAGACAGACACAGAACAGGATCATTTATGTTTGAGCTGTTTAGAATTCTGTTTACTTTTTCCTTGAAAGAAATTTTAAAGGTTTCTCTTCTCAACAGCAGGATGAAATCTTACAACCAACAATAGTGGAAAAAAGAAAGATGCTCATACCAGGAACATGCTGAGAGTTTTTCCCATGATACAGTTGAAGAGATCAAGTGCAGAGTTTCCAGCTACCATGAAGAAATCACACAGGAAGAGGAATTCTCTGCAGCCGTTGTCCAACAGGGCATAGTGCTGGCTGCGGAACAACGTCTCATAAGGATACTGAAAAATAAAGATGGTTTTGTTCAATTCATGTCATTTTTTGCTATCATTTTGAAAATAACTAGTCCAATGCTTTTATTACTTATTTTATACCGTAGAATGTAAGAAAATGCTTGATTAAGTAATTTACTATAACAGGGAACAAAGGTCAACAACAAAAGGTATGAAAAGAATCTATCAGCATGAGAGTATCTGATATTTTAGATGCTGGTCAATAAAATCGATAATATTTTGGCTAATATTGGACCAATATCCAATATTAAAATCAGATTGGGACGTCCCCAAAAATATAATAATGCTCACACAACGTTAGATGAGTAAATTTGTAAATTTTATATAGATAGATCTCTGGTTAGCCTGCAATTCATAACATGTAAACTTTTATGATCCTTCCTCTTAACATCAGAACTGAAAGGAACCATAATCACTCAAATTAAAAAATTGCCCAACCCTAAATTGTATGCAGATAAAAAATTTTTTATCCATTTGAATAATAATAAAGTACCTGAGTGAAGTTGGCCCCCCCACCTTATTCAAATCAGACAAAATTAGTGTCAAACGTTTGTGCTACGTTTGTGCTGGTTTGTGCCGCTATTGTTCTAAAGATATAAAGAGATGTTTCTAGAGGTCATCAAAGGTCAACCAGCCCCCCCACTTTCTTCAAATCTTCAAATCCAAAGCGGCACAAACGAAAATATTTACTGCACAAATGTAGCACAAACGTGGGGGGGCAACTTCACTCAGGTTAATAAAGTTTATATCATAAATGTTTATCTCACCCTGCTTTCTCCTCTCTGAGCTGTATGTGGAACCAGGATGGGCCCTTCCAGCTCTGCAGGACTCAATATGGTCCCCCTCTGGCCCAAAGTGAAGATGGTGTTCCTGTTCTTTAAGGAGGGCTTGGAAAAGAAACCTGCAGCTTAAGGTCAAGGAGCGTAAAACAAGGCATGGATACATGCTGCTGTCCTATGTCTGACATTTATTTGTAATAACTTTCCCCAGGGGCCACACAATGGCAGCCCACTGCTCCCCAAGGGGATGGGTGAAATGCAGAGAGGAAATTCCCCCACTGTGGGAGAATAAAGGGATTTACATTTACATAACTTCATGACATGCATGTTCTTACAACATTACATTTTTTTGAAATCAAAAGAACCTTACTTTTTTTTTTTTTACTTTTAGCTAAATATAATCACACTGCCACCTGATTAGACATGGAAAACAAACAACATAAAACAAAAAACATATTTGGGAAATCTTTCATTTTATTAATGACAAAATGTTCCTTTAATTGTTTTTTTTTTTTTTTTTTTTACCTTTTGAACATTCATGACATCACACACTCTCAGTCTCTGCTGCTTCTCTTTAGGCTTATTTCAAGTCTCTCAAAACTTGTAAAAACTGCAGGACAGTCAGGTGAACTGCTGATGTCATTGTGACTAAATAAATAAAAAGGCAGCAAATATCAGTTTGATTAAATAACACTATTCTAATTTTTACTTAAATTGTACGATCAGGTGTATGATTCTAGTTTGTCTTTCAGTATTTACACATATTTACATGTCTGGGAGCTCATTATATAGAGGCAACAGGACTGTTCTGCTTTTTCTTTTATGTTTTTCCAAAAAGGCTGTTTATTATAGCCTTAGAAAAGAAAAATCTCAACAAAAAATCTAAGAAACCTTTAATGAAATACCTTAAAAGTATTAAATCTAAAAAAAAAATATATGTTTTTTTAATATACAATTTTTATGAAAATTTGTTTTTTAATACAGAGCTTTACTATGCAGTGTGATCAGAATCTGTGATAAAGAGCAGATTTGAAAGGATATCTTTCTTTGCTGTATCTTCCACTCCCATCAGGTCGTCTTTATCCGCTACCTCCTCATACTGAAGGAGAAAAAATTTACATAAACATGAAATCCTCAGCATAAACTCCAACTGCTGTTCCCACATCCTGACAGTCTGGGACCTGTGGTTTAACAAAGCTGCAATAAAACAGAGAGAGCCTCATGATGGATCCACCGACCTGCACTTTGAGAAGCCGCCCGCTGTAGGACTTGAAGTAACTGTAGTAAATCTTGCTCATAGTGTCCACGTACTCATCCCTGATTTCTTTAGCAACAGTTCTTTCATTAGCCAGAAGAAACTGGTAGAAAAATCTTCAGGAGGACGAACAGAAGGACATTGAGTCATTTCCACTCAGTTTTAAGAATACAAAAGCAATACAATGTAAAACATCTAACAAAAAAACAATCTTTGGTTAAACTTTAGCTGCTTTCAGGGTTTAATTCTTACATAAAACTGGAATGAGCCCTTTTTAAAAGTAACCATAATGTAGAAAAGCACACACCTGTATTTCAGCAGAGTGTTCTGTGGGATCTGATAGTTTGTCATCGGTTTCCTGAAGGAGTAGATTTTTTGCAGAATAAACTCTCTGATCTTTGAGACGGCCTGAGGGGAAGAGAAATCAGCACATTCAATGCGTGTGAAGGAAACACATCCAACTGTGGTGGATTTATTGGTATAAATACAAGCTATTATTTCACACATTAGTTAAAGTTACATAGAATAACCTTTACTGGAACAAGTGTTTAATTATCCAGCAAGTAAACATCTAAAGAAAGGACTAATAAGCAAAGAATTTTAACACAGAAAAGCTGAATCCATTGATTTGTAAAGGTGGAGGTTAGGTTTCTGAACACCTTGTAGTTCTCACCATAATGCAACAAGGCTCTTATGATTCAAACTTACCTTGAGCTTGAGGCGATCAACGATGTCCTGGATGTCGGAGCAGGCCAACGTCTCTCTAAAGCTCAGCTCTTTGGCAAAGTTGATCTTTGTGTTGAGCTCATGGAGCTGCTCAAGGAAGTCCTGCTCCGTCACTGGACTTTCCATGATGGTGCTGCAGCGACAGGAAAACATCATCAACCCAATTCAACTGGATTTTTCCTTCGCTCACATAGCTTCATCTGACTGAACGGCTGTTATGCAAAACTGAGGTTGTTGTTGGATGTTTCATAGTGATTCAGTTTCCTATATTTTAATTCTAATTTTTTTATTAATTCAGTAACATGTTTAGACATCAATTTAATATGTTGATATCATAATTACACCAAAACAACCAGGGAAGAATGTTAGATCCCTCCTCTCTGTCATAATGCTTTCAGTCTTTCCTGTAAATGTTGTTGAACTTACGAGATCATGACTCCGGGCACCATCAGCTCATCCACCAGCTGGCTGAGGTGGCTGCGAACAGCCTGCCTGTTCTTCAGTCGCACGTTCATACTGACTGACTGCTGCTGCAGGGTCTGGATCTCACTGCTGATGGAGGAGAGGTCGCTCTGAAAGCCACTCAGCATACCCTCCATACGCTGGGGGAGTAAAAAGAAGAAACAGCCTAATAAAGCTCTATATTCTGCAATGTAACTCAAGAACTGAAAACATATTTTAGCTAAGCCTTTTGGGTCTTACACAAACAGAACCACTTAATAAATACCACCTTTTCTATCAGATTTTTGGGAATATATTTCTATATTGATTCACTAACAATAAAGAGAACTGTGAGGACCTCTGCTCTTACCTCCAATATGGAGTCACAGGCCGTGATCTGGTTGTGGAGATGGGCAATGTTCTGACTTTCTTTAATGTCTAACATAAAAGTGCTCAGGAAGACATTTTCTGTTAAAGGATTTTTATGCTTAAAAAGAGCTCAGTCAAAAAA